CGCCAGACCGCCCGTGAGGGGGGGGGGGGGGGCTTCCCCCCAGCTCCCTCAACGGGCCAGAACAGCCGTTATGGGGGGGCGCCTCTTCCCCCCAGCTCCCCCAATGGTCCAGAACAGCTGTTATGGGGGGTGCATGTGGAGAAGCTGCCTCTCCTTCTCCTTCTGATACCCTTTTTCCCTCCCCTGTGGTCTCTCCTACTGCAGGGAGCACACGGGGTTCAGATTATAAATACACTGTTTGTAAGCATCTTGGTTTCAACCCAATAACGGTACACATGTCAGCTTGAACAGGTAAACTTATTTATTAAGATAAGCTATACTAATAAGGTATATTTAAGGCATTCTTTCCCTTTGGATCGGCTTGTTTTCCCCTCCCATTTTCTCAAAAGCCGCCATCTGTTGTATCAGCAACTCCCCCTCTTGAAGATTTGGACATCCTTTCTATGTTCACTGCAAGACAGAACAAAAAGTGTTTTAGAAGGGGGACACTCCAGTGTAACAGACATTTTGCACGGCGACCCTTTCCTCTGCGCATTCAGTGTTAGATCCATGATGTTTCCAGCACAAACTCTGTTCTCTTAAATCAGGCCATGCACAAGAAATTTACTTCTCATTAAATTCACGCGGCTTGTGCTTACCCCAAAGCAGGGAGGATCTGTCCTAGCAGTCGTGTCAGAGACCTTTTTTACCACAAGGCAGTTTCAGAGACCTTTTTTACCACAAGGAGCAGATTAGGGAGGTTCAAAGGCAAGGTCAAGGATCCTGTTGGATGCACACATGCCTAGGACTAACTCCCCACACTGCCACAGAGCAGCCACAGCAGCATCTCCTGGCGTTAATTCAGAGCAATTCACTGTGGGATATAGCTGCCTATCTGCTCCTAAGTCAGCACGTGCCACTCAATACCCTGGTAATTACAGAGCGTGCGGCTTGTGAAGCGGGGCAGGACGATCTCCTTGTTCTTCCTTCCCAAGGAGCGTGACGAACTGCCATTGCTTACGAGCACGAGCGGAGCTACTGAAAACCGGAATTCTTCCTATGGAAAACGCTCCATCCTTGTTGTGTCTGTGCCAAGTCAAACACTTCAAAACAAAGCCCATTTAGTGTAAGACATAGACCACATCATGGATCACTTAAGGAAACATGGTAAGAATTAGTGGGGCTTCCTCTACAGATCCCTCTGTGCCATGTGCCTGCATGCATTTGAAACTGAGGGATCCAGCCTCCCAAAAAACATCCTAGAAGTGTAAGGCTGGATCTCAAAGCCTACCGTTCTGTTCGGAGAAAGGATCAAATATGGTTCATCAGCCCCAATCTGCCCCTAAAAACACTCAAAAAAGCAATAAAATGTAATGTCTTCTGTCAAATATTAGGAAAAGTTACTCTTGACGCTTAAACAACAATACGAAAAGAGCATTTCCCCGTAGCATTTGGCATTTTGCTCCTCCCCGGGAAAGCTGGGAAATACTGGATCCTGAATCAAAAAATCCTGGAAAAGCCCAGAGTTCCATTTACTGCTCAAATGCCACTCGAACCATTGACAGGCTCCTGGAAGCACTTGCTGCAGGGGACGGGCATCGGGGCAGATAACGTTAGCGGTGCCGTTTCACTCCAAATCCGCCAGCGCCTCAGCGCGCAGGGACGCGAGGGATCCGTCCCTGCTGGGGACCAGGTGGCAGGATGGCGTGGGCCTTACCTGTTGGACTGGCAGAGCATGCACTCGTTGGAGTAGGTCCTGCCATCGGTGCCGCAGACGGGGTTGAAGTTCCTGGGACAGCCCGGCACGCCGTACCTGTCGCACGCGGGCTGTGGGACACAGACCCACATGGGTTACGACAAGCCGGCGGGGAACCCACTGCGGCAGGGGCGTCTCAGCGCAGCCCCGGTGGGTTTGGGGACACCGAGGGTTCGGGTCGGGGGTGCCCGCGCTCGCGGCCCGCACTCACCGGGGTGCTGGCGGTCGCGGAGGGCGGCGAGAGGAGCCCTGCGGAGAACAAGGGTCGTGAGTGGCACCCGGGTCCCCCCCGCTTCCCCCTGACCCCGTCCCCCCGTGCCCGCGTACCCGCGAGCAGGGCCGGCAGCAGCACCAGCACCCGCA